TGTTATGTTAAACTTATATTAAAGTTTTTCTATATTACCCATTCAAGCCGTCTCAAAGCAATATCAGTTAAATGTTCCTCCCATTCCTAAAAAAAAATAAAAATAAAGTGAACTTCCATCCTATCTGAACGTTCATAAATGTTTTCCTAAAATATTACAAGTCGGTAGAGGGCGTTTCAGATTTTGTTAACACTTATACATTACAAAATAATAATAATTATTAGCGCCTTCAAGTACGATATAACGTTTCAAAGTATGGTCTTATAAAGGTGAATGAGAATGACGTCACATGAGTCAATGGGAGTTCAGCGGCTTAGCAGACACTACAAAAACAGTACATAGGCACCTCTCACTAAGAACTAGGGCCCCTTAGTTATCCCAGTAAAAAGTGGGAAAATTACCTCTCTCTCTCTACGTGCTTCATCTGCTCTTCCAGGAGCACAGACAGCTTATCCTTTTTTTAATCTCATTACTTAAAGTTTTCTTCTTTTGTTAAGCACGATCCTTTTTTTATTCTCCAGTTCGCATGGCACGTTTTAGTTACAAGAAACCATGGTGATAAGAACTTACAGAAATCTGCACAATGGAACATCGAAGACGTTACTGAAAAGTATTCCCAAGAAGAACCTTCAGAGAAGAGAGGTTTTCTAGCTGAACCTCAATGGAACAAGTGATAATCAAAACTTGACAGAATGAAAATCGTTTGGACAAAACGATGATCACATATCCGGCTGTATCAAACGTCACTTCCGCTCTTCGAAAGACTGCATTCAGGAAACCATCAGACATAATGTTGTGATACTTGGCGTGTAAAACGATTTGACTATGTGGAAAATAATGCACACAGTTGTGTGGTATGATGACGTCATAGTCACGATATATATATACATATAGTACCTACGGATCTCCGACAACCTATGACCCTAATTATGGGCTGTAAACCTTGGCCTTCGCCTTCCCATCTCTGCCTTTACCAGTTCTCATTGACAAAACATAAATGAAGACTAATACCTTAAATCCTTGCCAAAATTAATAATCTCAGCCCAAGAACTATTAATCAGGAATATACGTCATAATCACATGCAAGCAGTTTTGAACAAGAGACTTATATAGTTGTGTGTTATGTTATGATGACGTCATAGTCACGCTATATGTGGTACTTACGAGTATAAAAACCATTTCTCAAAATCATATTCAACCAGTTTTGAATATTTTTGTCCACAGTCAGTTACTTTAATGAGAAGGCCATGTCAGGCCGATTTTGTGTTTTGGGAGAAATTGTATAGGAGGCAGCCAGTTTCTTAGATACGGTGATTGTGGTGGAAATATTAAAATTTATTGGTATTTTTAACTGGTCACTGAAATAACATAAGACCTACCAAACAGGTATCTAGTCCCTCGTTTGGGTTCGAATCATGCCAAACAAAGCAAATTGTAATAGTTTGTTTGTTTGTTTGTAATTAAGCACAAAGCTACACAATGGGCTATCTGTGCTCTGCCCACCACGAGTATCGAAACCCGGATTCTAGCGTTATAAGTCCGCAGACATACCGCTGTGCCACTGGGGGGCAATTGTAATACAACTGTTGGTAATTAACTATACAATACAGGCTGACAAATGTAAACTTTTACTAGAATATTGTCTCCATACTAGCTAATACTAAGGTCTATCTGCTGGGAGTAAATTCAGTATATATCAATAAAGCCTCATTCTCAGCATCCTTAATTAAAGAACTGCCAACCTTTTATGCTTCTGATATCAACTTTTTATGTTTAGCTTTCAGTTGAGATACAAACAATTTCCCCTGCGATTCGGTAGGGAAGGTCGAAGCATCACGACAGTCAGCAGTAGGATGAGCAGACAGGAACACTTTGAAAGTAGCTACAGGCATAATATTGTATTCGGCTTGATGCACAATATCTACAAAGGTGGTTCTAAATGGTTCCTGAATACCTGTGAGCGTCATTTGGAGACTTTCATGCTTCTAGTGCTTAACCGTTAAGCCCGTGATGTGCTGACGGATTTCAGTTACCTTACCACTTCAAATCACTTTACGCAGCCCCAACGCTAATAAAGTTCGGGAAATGCCTTCTTTTCAGCCAATAAAAATGTCCAAAAAATCTCAGTTCAAATTAAGAAAAACCGGATTGGGTAGGTTTTTATTTTCAACAATAATGTCCCCCACTGGCTAGTGAGGAGCCTGTTTAAAATTATTGACAGAAATCAATTTTCTAATATGTTAAGAAAAATTAAAACGGGAAGGGGGCGTTTCTTTATAAATGGGCTTGACATGGTATTGTTGGTTAAGACACTCGACTCACAATGTGCAGATCGAGGAATCGAAATCCAGCTGCAATCATGCTCGCCCTTTCAGCTGTAGAGAAATTAAAATGTGACGGTAAATCCCATTATTCGTTGGTAACAAGTAGCCCCAAAGTTGGTGGTGGATACTGTTGGCTGGTTGCCTTCCCTGTAGTCGACAGTTCAACATTAGGGACGACGGTAACAGCCTTAGTAGGTTTACAATAAACAAACAACCAACGACCATTTTTTATGTTTGAAATGTATATGTACAATAAACATTGTTTGTTTGTTTTGCTTTTAAACACAAAGCTACATTATAGGGTATCTGTGCTGTGCCCACCACAGGTATTGAAACCCGTTTTTCAGCACTATAAGCCTAGTGACTTACCGCTGAGCCACTAGGGGGCTACAATAAAGAAACAGAAATAGAAAGAATGGCGAAAGAAAAACATGTATTTTACCTTAGAAGAGGATACTCTGGGTAAATAGGTTGAAAAACAACAACTTTAAGAGACTTTTTTTTTACTGGTTCTAAGCAGTTAGTGGAAGATTAATTACCTCATTTGCAACATAAAGTCTCGTATGTAGACTAGAGGTGAAGAAAGAATAAAATGACAAACTATGAAGATAAATAGAGAGAGAAAATTTACAAAAAAAATTGCTGCAGCAAAGCACTCTTAACTTTATTCCATAAAAAATGAATTAAAGAAATCATACGTCTTATATAAATGTTTATATATCATCTTAAAATCACGCCACCTTCATTGAAATTCTATGGAATTGTAATAGTTTCGTGACGTTTAAATGCCAGCTTTGAATGCCCATAAAATGAATATTGTAGTAAAAAATAACGTATATCTTTGTCATGGTTAGAAGCCTGCACGATCACTTTAGTCTGTAATTATTAATTAGTTTATATAGATATATTATTACTAGATAGTAATTACTAACTAGTATATATTCCACGTTTTGTCTGATACTCAGCTGCCGTCTTCAGAGAAATCCTGAGAGGGTTTCTAGTGGTAGAGGCCAGGATTCGATCCTGGGTCCACATATTGCATCATATTGAGTAATTGTATGGTTTTGCCTGTTATAACTGTAAAGAACCGACAATCTGTAATCCTAATGATTTTTTTTCGTTAATTTTAACTTCTGATTGAGACAAGTTACCTACATAGATGTGAGACTTTGTGTTGTTTTAGTAAAGTCATTGACCCACAAATAAATTGATTCATGAATAATTTAGATAAGTGTTTAAAAATCCGGCGAGGTACAGGGACTTAATTAATAATGTCCAGATTACTAGACTTATTACAAGACCCCCCCCCCAAAAAAAACAAAAACAAAAAAACAAACTAATATGATGATGGTAACTCTTGGAAGATAAACGTAATTATTTAATTATATTTATGTATCTTATAAAAACCTATAACAGGTTCTTAGACTGAAGTTTGGACTCTTTATTATATATATATACTACAAGCCGGTTTTGTTCTTGTGTTTGTGTAGGATTATGAATCAATACGTCCGTTTAAAGATTACTTTTTAAAGAAAATTAGAATTCTGTTATGTAGTGTGATGATGTAAGCTGACATTGCTGTGGTCAGCTCAAGTCAGCAATGACACAGCAAACAGCACACTACTGAACATTACAGCCCATCACACTTTATATGAAACAGACTAAAAACATACGCATTTCACATGCAGGAATAACTCACCAGCGGAGTTTACAAACCAAGCTTCACGTCTGATATATACGTCAGTGTATAGGTAGTTTATTGATCTACCACTAGGGCATTACCTTCTACATTTTTTGTAAGATGCAGTTCCTGGTAAAACATCATAGTTTCGTACACAGTAAGTTCGAACGCTGTACATCACGTGCATTGTACAGTTATAACGGTTCAGAGCAATACACTTATTCTTTGAAATTTCATGATAGTCTTAAGCAGAATGTAATTATGAAATACGTGATAGAATTGATTCTGAGTTTTCTCCACGTATTGAACTTTAACCATACTCACATATAGATTTGAACCGTAACCTTTCATTATAACATAAACTTATTTCTCCTGTAGTGCCCGGCATGGCCAGGTGGATAAGGCGCTCGACTCACAATCTGCGGGTCGCGGGTTCGAATCCGCATCCCACCAAACATGCTCGCCCTTTCAGCCGTGGGGGCGTTGTAATGTGACGATCAATCCCACTATTCGTTGGTAAAAGAGTAGCCCAAGAGTTGGCGGTGGGTGGTAATGACTAGCTGCCTTCCCTATAGTCTTACACTGCTAAATTAGGGACGGCTAGCGCAGATAGCCCTCGTGTAGCTTTGCGTAAAATTCAAAACAAACAAACAAACAAACAAAACATTTCTAGAGGGGTTGTATGTATATATGTATTGCCTGTAACAGTGCATACCCAATACTTGTGGATGTCTTAGTCCAGTCAGGATTCATTGTGCCTTGCACTTCAAATCATCTCTGCTGTTAATGGTACTGTGACAAAAGCACACAGATATCCTGAAACCCACATTCCTTCCAAAACATACTTACTTCTGGTGACACTATAGCTATTTCTCGATCTCCAGGGTTTTCACTCTCTTTCCCATCTAAGCATTGAAAAAGCTTGCTCCAGTCTTTTATACCTCACTCAAATGTCCTTGGCAAATTCTAACTTGCAAAATTCTCCATCAACTTCAATGCCTCCTCTATCTAGGTACTGTATATGAGCACCTCATTCAGATAATGTAATCACTTTTTCTCGACAAAGCATTTGTCATGGGTTTCTATAAACAGGAGTTTTGTGATTATTTACAATTTACGTTGCAACTTTGAACGTGGTTGGCATTACTATGGTTATATCTTCGTTTATATTTATAAATTACTTTAACAACAAAAAAACGTACCGATGGGTATGAATTCTCGAGTTAATATTTCTACTACGGAGGCCTACCAGACCTTTTATCTTCAGTCTCTGCTATCTGGTGTTTGTCAATGGCCAGGAGAGGGATCACTCTCAGTTGAAGCTGTCCATAATATGAGCCATTGAGAGATTATGACATATATGTGGACCGAGGGTGTGTCTCTGGGGGTTCTAAAGTGGCTTTTGCAAATGACCCGGGACCAGCTGGGGAGAATTTAGACTCGCATTTTCCAGCCAATTGTTTTACTAGGTCAGCCTCAACAGAGGATCATTTTGATCAGCCACCTCCATCCCCTTTTTTCAGTTGGTTACTCGGGTTTGTGAGGTTTTGGGGGTCTGTCCTATATTCCTTCCTTGTTGGCAAAAAGGACAGCAAGTGATTACTTGGTTTTCCTCCTCCTCCTGATATTGCTGTTCATACTGGGAGATTTGCTGCTCAGTTACACAATGGGGTAACTATGCTTTATCCCCCACCTTTATTGGAACAGCATGCTTTGGCTTATCACCGCCATGAGGAGTTATATTTACATTCTCAATGGATGGGCCCCCTGATGGACCTTTGGGGGTCTAGATTGGAACCTGTGATCACTTTAAACAGATCACAGTTTCCTCGGATTCGTCTTACTCTCAGAACTATCCTGAGGTATTTATCTTCTCCCCTCAGGGAGTTACGGAAAGCTCCTTTTCTCTGTCCCATGTTGCTTGCCAGAGTTCCAGAGATGTTAGAATCACGATTTGATTCAGCTCGTTTACATTATTCTTTATTGTTGTTGGCTTTTCGCCTTTCTGGTGCTAATTTGAGTGTGTCGGCTCGTAGTGTTTCCCCACCCCTCCTTATGTTCCCAGGTCTATTGGTTCCCATAATAGAGTTCGTCCATATTCTCAATAATTTTCGGCTCGGGCGGACCATCGACAGTGGCATCAGTGTCTATCTCATGAGCAGGGAGTGGGAGCATGATTACATCACTTTCTGGACATATGGAGTTCTTTTACCAGGGATCCATGGGTACTCAGTGTTCTGGCTTCAGGGTTGGTTATTCAATTTACATCACCTCCACTATTGTCTGCACAACCTGTTGCCTTTTCACCTCCAACAGATCCATGGTGAGTGGAGCTTCGTTCCCAGACCATAAGAGAGTTGTTAGTCAAACAGGCAGTAAAGAGGGCCGAACCCGTTCTTCCGGCATTTTATTCCTGTTTATTCGTTGTACCCAAGAAGACAGAAGATTATCATCCAATCATCCATCTATCTCGACTCAACTAATTTGTAGATCCTCCTCGCTTTACAATAGAATCTTTTCTCAATCTACATTGACACTTCATACCAGGGCTCTGGATGACCAAGTTCGATGCTACTGATGCTTATCTCCATATTATTATAGTAGAATCTTCCTGGAGGTTTCTCAGATTTGTGCACAAGGGTCAGGCTCTGCAGTTCAGGGCTCTACCTTTTGATCTTGCATCAGTACCTTCTATCTTATGCAGAGTTGTTCGAGTTTTTCTTCGAAACCTGCATTCCTTAGACCTGTGCATACATCATTATATGGAGGACTGGCTCCTTCTGACACTATCTCGTCAGTTAGCAGAACAACACTCTCAGATTCTCCTTTCAGAAGCCACAAAAGCAGGCTTCCTAATCAGAATGGAGAAATCTATTCTGTCACCAATGCAATATCTCGTCCATCTGGGTGTGTTTTTCAATACTCAATTAACTCGTGCTCAACCAAACCCTATCAGATTTCAAGCCATGCAAAGAGCCTTCGTGCTTTTACTTATGTCTCCTTCTCATACTCTGCAGATGGTTCTCTCTATTTTGGGGATGTGGGCATTCCTCAAGTCTCTTATTCCTTTGAGTTGAGCATATATAAGGTCCCTTCAGTGGTCACTGTGCGACCAATTGATCTTGCATTCCGATCTTTAGATCATCCTTTCTCATTACTCAGGGGAAACATCGTCAATTGCAAATGGTGGTTGGGTCAGAACAACTACTATTGGGGTACCCATTCCACCACCTCGTCCCGAGATCTGTCTGTTCACAAATGCATCTCTTCAGGGATCGGGAGCTTATATTCAAGGTCTGGAATTCTAGGGTATTTGGAGAGAAGACGAGTTTATCCTCCATATCAATGTTCTCAAACTCCTTGCAGTACACTGGGCAATGGTTCAAGGTCTGTCTCTTTTGAAGGGTAAAATTGTCATGATATATTACGACAATTCCAAAGTGGTATCTCAGATTTCTCGTTAAAGAGGCACACATTATTGAGACTATTGTTTTTGTACCTTGGATCTTTCCTATTGGGTTCATTCCCATTGTATCAGTCTTTTAGTATGTCATGTTCCAGGAGTGATGAATTTACTTGTCTCAATGGAATGGATGCTAGATCACACGGTTTTCAGTGTATTTGCTCTCAATTCGGGTCTCCAACGATCGATGCCTTTGCAACTCATTGGAATTCTCAATGTAGATGTTTTGGTCTCTGATACCTCATCCTCAAACGTTGACAGTAGATGCATTCAGTCAGGACTGGACAGGTTTACATCTTTATACTGTTCCCTTGATTAGGCTATTGTCCCAGGTTCTGACTATGGTTTGTTCCCCTCCCTGTGGATATTAGCTATCTCAAACGTGGTTTCTGCTTCTTCCATATCTGCAGGAATGTCCACCTCTACCTCTTCCACTTTGGCAGTTTCTGTTGAGACAACCTCGATCAGACATTCTCCATCCAGATGTTCGGAAACTCAGTATTCATGCTTGGAAGTTATGTGGTCCTTTGCTTGACATAAAGTAGCATCTTGTTGTCTTTTCGTCTCATTTTAGATACAAGTCAGCCTAGTTAAAGATAAGCAAAAAGCATTAACATAAAGATGCTGCTTCTTGCTTCCAGTACAGTCTGCCTTATTATGCACTATAACTGTGTTTTGTACTGAAATGTTAAGAAGATTTTTAGAAAACTGCATTCTTCTGATATGAAACTATTATGCTCACATAATAGCTTTTCTCGACTACACAGGTCTGTGATGGTTTTATTGTCTTGAAACTTTTACATGTTCTATCCTATATGCTGAATCCAAAAATGTCCATTTTTTCCATCACGTACAGATTTTTCACAAATGTCGTATGTATTTTTACATAAGTAAATAATTTTCATTGAAATTGGGTCACATTTTGTTATACTTAAAATGTTGACAGTCACTGGCTATAGATTCTTCTCTACCAATCGCAACATGAGAGTCTTATTGTTCGTTCTAGAATCCACGAGAAACACACCACTAGTATATAAACAAGCTGCATGACGTGTGGTATGGTAATAATATTTGTTTGTGCATGCACTTTGACTTTTTTTCAATATTTTTTATTCATTGCTATAGCAATAAGTAGTTGTGTAAATGACCCAAACATATTCTGTTATATTTGTGGGGAATTTGTTTTAAAGAAACAAAGGCAAAACAGTACAGAATTGGTGAAAAAAGTGTATTATATGTATTTTGGAATAAAACTTTGGGACCAACACAAATCATGTGCTCTACACAAAGTTTGTATCGAAAAGTTGAGACAATGGCCTAAAAGTAAAAAATGTCTGTCTTTTGGAACTGTAATGGTATAACTTGAGCCTAGAAACCACGGAGATTACTGCTAATTTTGCTCATGTAACGTGCAAGGCTAGAACACTCAAAATAAAAAGGAAATTTCTTATCCGAACCCTCAGTCTACTATAAAACCTGTTGCTAATGGACCTTATGTACCTGTACCTACTCCATCAGAGACTCTTGATACGGCTTCATCTGATTCTGATTTGGGCCTTCCAAAGGATAAAAGGATTATTCAAAGATTTTGGGGTCCAGAGTTCAGGCTAAGAACTTACTTTCTCCAGGTAAAATGATGTCCACGATTTCTGTACCACACACACAAAAACAAAAAACATGGAAACTTTGTATAACCGAATTGTTGACCCAACAACATACAAAGGACTTTTTAAGACTCCACAAAGTAGCCTACCATGTTCTTTGTATTTGACCTTATTAAGAAGTTCAAGATTTTCGTACGTTTCCTTCAAGTGAACCGAATGAGCAATAGGAGCATATAAATATACATGTTACCATGGTGAAGACCTTTTAGACTTCTTTTGGAGGAATCAATGAACAATCGCCATTCACTTGGCCCATAGACTGCAGCTTCTAGCATTGGTATTAATTCAGCAATATTGTTACAATAAACCAGTGAACATTCTTGTGAAAAGTATGGCTACGTAAATTTCGAAAATAATATTCTTTTTTTTTCTATCACGTAAGGTTTTTACAAATCGGGAAAAAAAAGTCTTACTTAGTTCAATTTATTATTTCGTTTACCACAATGAACATTTTTTATTATTATGTTTATTAACAAAAATACAAACAAACTGAAGAAAATGGAAGAACATTGATGTCAAACGAATATACACCCTCATTCATCCTGATTTTTTTTGTGAAATCTACGTGTTATGGTTTTTCTTTTATGTATTACGTCTGGAGCATCTCGTTTCAATGACCAGCAGTAATCAGTCATCATACTGATGTTTCAACCTTCCCTGGTACCTCCTCTCCATTTCCCTGATAGCTTGATGAAACCTTTCCCTTTGTTCTTCGCTGATGGCACCGAGATTTTCGGGGAAATAGTCAATATGTGAGTGTAAGAAATGAACTTTCGATCTCATATTACAAGCCAACTCTTTACATTTATCGAGCATGTTATTGACAATATTTTCGTAATTTAAGTCCTTGTTGTTTACTAAAAATTTGTCAGTAACATCTTTAAAGGCAATCCACGCTTCTTTCTCAACCTTCCTCATCATCCTTTCGAACTGATCATCCGAAGACAATTTGCTAATCTGAGGTCCAACAAAAATCCCTTCTTTAAGTTTCGCTTCTGAAAGAGCTGGGAATTGCCCACATAGATAATTGAAACAGTCGCCATCTTTGTCTAAGGCCTTTACAAACTGCTTCATGAAGCCCAGTTTTATGTGAAGTGGAGATAGTAGGACTTTCTTTGTGTCAACCAAACGTTCATGTTAATATTTTTCGATCCTGATATCAGGTTGACTCTGCATGGCCATTGCTTCTTTATCCAGTGCTGATTTCGTGCTCTGTTGTCCCATTCACAGGTTTTAATAACGGATTTTCCATAATTCAATAACAACTTTTATGAAGTTTAAATTCGCAGGCCTGTGCAATTAAACGTTACACAAATAATTCTATATTAAAAACTAGAAACAATGAAAGGTAGTTTGGGTTGGGGTTGTTCAAGTCTTAATTTCTATGTACTTTAAAAAAGTATTTTATCGCTCATCAAATGGCGTACTAACATAGATATGATAAACAGAAAAACGATCACAAAAAGAATAAAATTCTGAGACATGAAAAAAAAAGAATGTTCTAAGTAACCTCACAAAGCTACCTGTCGGTATAAACGACCCTGCATGGCCAGGTGGTTAGGACACTCGACTCGCAATCTGCGGGTCGCGGGTTCGAATCCCTGTCACACCAAACATGCTCGCCCTTTCAGCCGTGGGGGCGTTATAATGTGACGGTCAATCCCACTATTCGTTAGTAAAAGAGTAGCCCAAGAGTTGGCGGTGGGTGGTGATGACTAGCTGCCTTCTCACTAGACTATCACTGCTAAATTTGGAACGGCTAGCGCAGATAGCCCTCGTGTAGCTTTGCGCGAAATTCAAAACAAACAAACCAAATCGTTATAAAAGTGTTTAACTTACTGTATATGGTGAAAGAACATAAACAAATTTCTTGGTGGGATCCAAATGTAGATCAGAAGTAATTGGATTTCCAGGATCAACAACAACTTCTTCAAATTCTTCTGCCATCTCTCTGCTGCTAAGAAGCACCTACAGCAAATACACGCAATGCCGTTTGTAACATGTTTTCTTAATCACAAGCACAGAGAAAAAATATATTTGAATACAAATAAAACTGTACACAACCTTAACCCAACAAAATGCGAACGTAATGCTATTTCTGAATTTCTTTGAAGCATATAAGCCCTAGAAACAAAGGAACGAGTACATTATACACGTAACATGTTCTTAAATTTAAAAAAAAATCATATTTGCTCATAATACTTTTTTCGGGTGAAGATGATAAAAAAAGGTCCAATCTCCAGATACACACGGTATCTCCTGTCACAAATGTAACAACAACAACAAAAACATGGCGGTATCAAAGTAAGAATGTTCTTTAGTGTTTTACCAGAAAGATGTAACTAGATTTAAAAAAAAAGAAAATATTAAAAAAGAGCATCTTTGGCCACCGTACCTCTCTTATCTATCGTGTTCATTATTTTTCTAGTGGCCAAAGATTGTGAGAGATGCCGAACAGGAGCTCTTTGAAAGCTTTTATCACGTAGAACAATGAAAATACAAAGGAAACATGAAAGAAGCCGCCACACTTATTTTAATTACCACATGTGTTTATACACGAGTTAGCAAAACCTGTGGATTTCTTTTCATTTTGATGTAGTCGCTCTTTATGTTACAGGAAACAAGAAATACCAGCGGCATGCATTAAAACGTAAATGTATTTTGTACAACAAACTCGACATAGTTAATTATCCTGAACCTGTAATGTTTATATTAAATAAGCTTATATGCATAATTTTATTTTCAACTAGTAATGATGCTTTTGTTACTCTAAAGGGGGCGCATATGAGCTTTCTTCAGCAAAGTCTTTAACCCCTCAATTTCCATTCAATTGTATAAAACCAAATTCACGAGAATTCCGTGTTTTGTAATGTCGATATGAGCATCTCTGTACGACACAAAATAGACAGAGTTGCATCAGCTTCTTATCTATCTGTTGACATTTTTATAATCCTTTATCTCGGATCTTTTAACATGAGTCCTTGTGATTTACTAGTTTATTATCTATAAATACGGTGGTTTATCTGTAATCATTTCGGGATATTCAGTTATATGTCACCTAAAAAGATGTCATCCATATATTACACTCTGAACCGATTTAGTAACATCCATTAAGACATAAATGAGCCACTGTTAACATTATACACGTCTAATGATAGTGTGTGGAGCACACATTTAATGTAAAAAAAAATAAAATAAATAAGTCTGCTTCCAATCTCGTGTATGTGTGTGAATGTGATCACTCAAGCTTCTAGTGACATAGAGGATAAGATCCGGTGTTTAGGAATATAAACATTTCGACCAGCTAACAGAACCTCAACTGTTCCAAATGTAAACAAACGGGTCCAATTCATTCATTCCGCTGGGTAGATAGATAAACAGATGTCTTGCTGAAAAAGAGCTTTATAAGCAATATTCTGCTGTGAACAGAATAAACGTATGATGAGACAGTTCATACGATCCACAGAAAAAAGTAATAAAAAAAAGGGATTCTCGTGACTTCCGCGGTCAACGATCACAAATATCTTAATTTTTGAACGAGCTAAGCGTGCAGAAAAATCTATAATAGCGAATGTTTAAAGCAAATGTCCTTTTTATCACATTCCTATCAACTACAGCACTCATAAGATATTCGTTCATTCATACAAAAATGTCTTGTAAATTCTAAAACCTGGTTCAGTACAACATTATATTATTGGTGTAGTTTTTATATTAAGCGCACACATAAGTGCACAAAACTCCACTCTGTGATATTCTCGGTCATCGAATTAGCTGTGCTAATGAAGATTGACACTGACTGAAACTGCAGCTCTCGGCTCTTCGCGGTGTGTATGGGTTTTCTGATTTAATATTAGGTTTACGTTTCAATTCAAGAACTAATGATAATTGGCTAGTTCGTCATGTTTTACGTATTACTTGTCAGTACATTCTTTTTTTAGCACAGGTAATAGTTTTTTAATTACTTACTATTATAAGCGCGTAACTCTATAGAAACCACCTTTCTTGGCTGGCTTATCAACACCTTTTGATTTCAAGCACGTGGTTTTGTTTACATCAAGCTTTATTGTTCAATTTGTCAACGTCTTGGTTCTTCAAGTGAATTTAGTTACACCTTCTTAGTTAAATAAGTTTGCCATTTCAGACAAATAAATTTCTTTACACCATCTTTTATTGATCATATTTAGTTCATATGGATTTTTGTTAATGTCATACGTTTTGTGTTTGTTGTGTTAGCAGCTTGCTACTTACTGCACGTGACTTTGCTAACCCTAAACTTTTTTGCTTGCTCACCATAAGACTTCACTTACACCATCCTTTTTGTTTGTTTTATTGATGGCTTAAAAACGTCGTTTACGGCCAACTTTAATTACTCAATGTCTAGACAGTAAAATTTGCATCTTCAACATCCTCGGTTTCCAATTCTAAATACCAAGTAACTGATGAAAGCTTCATATAATGCTGCAAATCTTGAAGGAAAACAAAACAGAAACATGAAACAAGGATTTCCAAGAAGTGATGCTACATGACAAACACTATACAAGAGTATGTTTCTTTGGGTGATTTTGCAACATTTAGCTACTGTGTGATCTATTCAGTCCTCGTGCTTATCACTTCTTTACAAGGTATTAAGATTCAGATCAGCTTCTAGAAAATATCAGGCACACAGAGCTGAATTATCTTTAAAGATACCACAATGTGTTGTTTCCATTTAGTCTCATCCAGTACAGGTGTTTCTTGATCGCACGTGTTTGTCATAACGATAAATCTTCACGCTTAAGCACTTATGGATCTGTCGGACAGAGCCTTTTATCTACACACTTGACAACACAGTAGTGATGCTTGTATTCCCACTAAGAGTGTAACATCGGTGTACAGCGGTGCTAAATTACTTGGCAACGGTTCAAACATAAGCATATATGGCACCATATTAACAGCAGCAAAGACAACTGGCCAGATACTAGGTTAAGTGGCCAACAAAATTAGATAGATTTGTTTTCAAGCACCAAAAGCTAAAAGTTACAGCGGTTACTGATACATTAACAAACTAAACAGTAAACAATTCTGATGTTTATACGTGCTACATCTTTAGTTGAGTAATTACTTTTTAAATTAGGTGTAAATAAAACCCAACCAAAGTTTTCAAAGTTTATTATAGGTAGGAAAACACGTTCTTAAATAAGCACAGGTTGGTCGTGAATTAAAAGGTACAGTTTTATTGAATAAGCTCTGTCCAATGAAATAGGGGGGGGGGGGGATTGAAAGAGGGAAAGCAAACAATAATTCAAACCGACAAATCTCTGAACTATTTTTTACCCCCTTTCCATATCTTCCTCTTTCTGTATATAAAAAAAAATAATATATATATATATATAAATCAATATACAATGCTATGCAATACATTAATTGTTCATATGCACTTAACATCAGCACTATAAAATAATAATGAACTTAATATAAATCAAAAACAACATAATAAAACTTAAACTCAAAATCACGCCTCCGCTACCATTCCTTACTGTCGTCCTTAAATCATATATATACACACACACACAAATTCGCTAGAATATAAATTTTTCACTTAAATACATTTAATTTTGCTTTCAACACACCATAATTATTGCTTTTAGACCTGTAGAAAAAGAAACGATAACAAAGTTTAACAAAACTTTATCAATCCCGACGAGTGCCAAAACATGTGCGCAAGAACGTGGTTTATATGTACAATTAATTATTCTCGTGATAGGAAGCACCTATGTAACTTACAAGTAGCCAACTGTAGGGAACACGTTGTTCTAAGCTAGACTGCAACCAATCCACACGAACAACACGTAAAAGGGAACGGTCACTTAAAATATTGTGTTACAGGTGAACATGAAACTGCTTTAAAAAAAAAGCGTTTTGTTCCCCTACCACAGATAAGCAAATAAAATAAGGTACTAGTAACCTGATCCTCCTTTTAGAGAAGTCTAACTGTATCTTAAGATCTTTCAAAATTAACGGGTGGCACAATAGAAAGCCAATAGTAAATTTACAAAAATAGACTTTTAACTTTACAAACAGTAAGTGGGACAATGTGTCCTTACCTTTTTCAGGCGGCCATCTTTGGTCCCCACAAACGCCACAGTGTGCTGTGCTGTTATGGTTGTGGTTATCGCACTGTACGTTACATTGTTATCGATGAGAGCAGCAAATCCTGTTATGGGGACTGAACCGTTGACCTTCAAGGCTTCTTTACAAAAGTCAAACACGTTGCCCCCTTTCTAGGAATAGATGTACGGGTGTATTCATAAATAAAATCAACACATATATGAACAAAACTTGTTTATTTCAGACAAAACAAGGTTAAAGATTAATAAAGAAATACTCAAGATTTCGCCCAGTTAATTGGACATCATCATGCTCGACTTACATTATACTTATTTGCATACTGGCCTGAACTCTTACGAGGCCTAACTACTGATACTACAATTCATTCACACGAGTCTTAATAAAACCAGTCTTCTAAGTCAACAAAATCCACGGGCTCTGGTTTTAGTGCTACCACTTCACGTTTATGGCTTTACATCAACGTTATTAAATCGACCCTTCTCCTCTTGGAATAGAGCTATTACTTGCAAGTTGGACAGGAAATGAAATTCATTTTAAATTTTTATTTTTATTCCCAATATATTGAATACTACAATTTTCAGCCATGGTTAATAGGAAATAACTGCCAGTTTGTTAAATATTGTATATTCTAATGTATTGATGACCACACACTGACTCTTTTTCAGTAACAATTAGTGAGACTACACTTAATAAAGGTTATTGTATAACAGAGGCGTCAGAACCGTCCACTTTACAACTCCTTCCTACACCAATGTACCATCTAAATAATTACCAGATGCTGCTACACATTAACTTGATACTGTATCCTACACCTGATCCCAATTGTAACATAAACTGCTTACAGAACCAACCATATAATCCATCCAAAACCTGACACACACCATAAGTTGAATATCGTATTGTATACGTGCTGCTTCTATCAGCATCAACCAGACAATATATCCTACACTTGATCCCAATTGTAACATAAACTGCTTACAGAACCAACCATATAATGCATCCAAAACCTGACACACTATATAAGTTGAATATCGTATTGTATACGTTCTGCTTCTATCAGCATCAACCAGACAATATATCCTACACCTGATCCCAATTGTAACATAAACTGCTTACAGAACCAACCATATAATGCATCCAAAACCTGACACACAATATAAGTTGAATATCGTATTGTATACGTGCTGCTTCTATCAGCATCAACCAGACAATATATCTTACACCTAATCCAAATTGTAACATAAACTGCTTACAGAACCAACCATATAATGCATCCAAAACCTGACACACAACATAAGTTGAATATCGTATTGTATACGTTCTGCTTCTATCAGCATCAACCAGACAATATATCCTACACCTGATCCCAATTGTAACGTAAACTGCTTACAGAACCAACCATATAATGCATCCAAAACCTGACACACAACATAAGTTGAATATCGTATTGTATACGTGATGCTCCTATCAGCCAGACGTTATATCCTACACCAGATCCTATTCGAAACATCAGAAAGCAATGTGCTGTAAACTATGTTTGCTTACAGCCACATTGTACCGCAAACACATCATTTCACAGCATCAACGTGCTTTAAACAAATTTATGATATGTTAACAATAGCATTTGTTTCTTGTGTACAGGTTTTGGATATATAAAAAAAAGTTCAATGAGATAATAAACTTTTGGGGACAATATTTTAATTTATGTAATGGCATTTCACTGGCTAGGATATCTAGAGCCCTAACTGGCATTGACTATTAAATCAAAATGTCTGAAAACAAAATCTCAGGTATGAAATATGATAGAAACAAGTTCGGTAATAAATGAGACTGCTTTAAATACTTCATTCTTACTTCGCTGATCACAAGCTATGATTAACCCTCAACTGGTAGGGTAAAATATTTATCATAATATGGCGGGAGTCAAAATGATAAACAAACGATTACAACAGTAAGAAAGAGAACTGCAGCAGCACATCCGCTCTGCTCAACACTCAAGAACTAATTGAGGTTAAAGTACAGAAAATATCAGGTAGAGAACAGCACTAGCTCAATTGGAATATCTACTTGAAAAAATGGACGTGGGTCATTGTGACCCCACCCACTCCCTCTCAGTTGAGGGTTAAGAAGTGTGCACAACAGAATGATATTTCAACTACACTTTGATAGAGGGTGTTGACAGTTGAGGATTTTCCAAAACCAAAGGTCATCTGGGTCACAGCTCCCATAACCAGTTATTAGGAACTAAGTTATTTAATGCGTAATTCCAAAAGTGGTGCCAACCACTACTTAACTGTAACTGTTACTCAGTATCAAACCACAAACAGCCGAGACGGAGTAACGAGTTCTGATACTAGGCAAATGTTCTCGTCGTCATAACTGTCGGTGTTTAAATACACGATGTTCTTTTTTCTTTTTTTAACTTTCTCGAAATATGATACTTTCCTCGTGCCACAAAATTCCAATAATAAATCCATCTGTGTTTTGTAACAAAGAAAGATACTTCGCTGGAATGTCACAGACATAAATGAAGACTTTTTGTGCAGCGTTTACTGTTTCTAATTTTAGAGAATGATACACGTTTCGTAACGTTACAGTCGGGAGTCGATCTGTTTTTAAGCAACATTTGTTGGTGCCATTGAGCGTCCTACTAAATAAGTTATATCTCTTGAAGTAAGTTGTTTTAAATTAATTTTCAATCTTTTCCTCCCTGTCACTAGAAAAGATTATGTTGTTAATGTCTAATAATTTGCGATTTTCTCTGTAAGCGTCACGCGACTTGTGATAGTATCTTAAAAAAAAACACTTTCGTAAAAAACATTCATAAACACTGAAAGGAAATACCTTTAGCGACACACAGTAATTTGAAAATAAATAGTTATATAAATTTGTAAACAGACTTAACCATAGAGAGAACCTTTCTCACGTTGCAGTCTATTAGCAGCCGGGAAAATCAATGTCCGTTTCGGTTGAAAAACTTTCTTCTGTAAGTCAAGTAACATTATGCTCGCTCCAAAAAGAGCACGCACCAATCCCTTTTTCTCCTAAGTTTTGCGAGATTTATTCAAATTAATGATCAGTAACTGGGAATACTATTTTAAAATACAGAAGTTAACAATGATATCCACGTAAGTCTCATGCGGATTTTTGTAACGATCTGAAAGTGGCGCACTTTAAACAACTTTTGACTGAACATCGTGAATTTGCTACTTATAAGACATACTCTAGCGTGATAACCACGTATGGAGAGGTTTCACGTGTAGTTTCAAGGAACAATGTTACCATATGTATAGTGAAATAAAACTTACTGGATTTAAAACTTATATTTGTAGACTTCATAATCACTTTCTCCATCATAAATTTCTATTACTGTTTAATAAAATCTCGCCTATCATGACTACTGCAATGTAAGCTACCACCAGGTGATTTACTGAAATACTCTTCTTATAGCAATATGCGTTCCTAAATCTCGTTAAATACGGTAAGTTTCACTTCAGTCTTGTGGTTGATATATTATTTGTTTCGTAACTAAAATAAATTCACATGCTCTTTTCTTTTTGTGTTACGTAAAGTTTACGGAAATTTTAAATTTTGTTGATAAAAGGTTTGATTTTCAGATTACATGAGAGTAAACTTTCAATAAAGCTAAAGAACGAAAAAAAAAACAAGATTTAAGTTATAGAGAAAATATTTTATCAAGATACAGCTCTTCACCAAGGTAACGCAAAGTTTTAAAGTCATGTTTATACCTAAGGCATATCTTTTACTGAATGATTTATAATAGCCTAACAGTAACCATTACGAAATGTCTTTTCATCACATTTGAATAACGAGAACGACGTAAAAGGACCGGTTGATTGTCACATATATATTGTTTAGTATTGACATATTTAATATCAAACTTTGTGAGATTATTTTTCTATATTCATTGTGATATTCATATTATCTGTGCACAAATATATGTGAAAAGAATCAGAAATGCATAAAGAAAATTGGACAAACTGCTGGAAGTACTCGGTATTTTTCATGGACACTTTTTTTTTAATACTCAGATTTGTAGAATTTTCACAGTGACAATATTTTAAATGATACTAAAAACAAAAAACGCACAAAAATGTCTTCACTAACAATATAACTGTCCATAGAAAACGATGTGAAACTTTCACTAGGAAGTTCTTTTCAACATGACAAAACAACGTAAAGTACCAGCAGTTTCTATGGAAACGTTTATTTATACTGTAAAATTCACTCCTCTCCAACAGTGTACGTCAGTGAGTATAGGGGTTTCTTTTACTGCGGTAAACCCCTGCCAAACTCTAAAGTTTCATATATTTCATCTGTTATAACCTCGTACACACTTGTAGTTGGCTAATACCTATACGTATTGAATATCAAAATCCAATATTAGTAATGTCTTCACTTCCCAATTTGCAAGCACGACAGAAAGCGTCTTCATCAATCAATTGCTCTCACGGGCATGATCATCAGTGAACATTACCCATCAACGTTCTTTCAAATCATAAATGTAAATTTGTAATGTAACTGAAAATTTGCCTTTAGTACATACTTATAAATTTATAACTATAGTTTGTTTTATAAAATCTTCCTATTTAAAAGAATGGCAAGTGATAGTTTTATATATATATTTAACGTGATGAATTACTTTTCAGGAGGCTACTACATTATGTCCAGTAACAAATAATGTATAAAAGAACGTTTACTTACCCCTGGTTCTGGGCAGTCTTTTATACTTCCTGCGATGTAATCCATGTTGCGAGTGACCACACTTCCGTTATAACACATGTGAATGTTTTCAGTAAAACGCTGCTCTATTTCCGCTAAAGAAAAAACACATAGAGCTGATTTTCGGGCTGGTCTAGATGTGTGGTCGGCAGCACTTTGGGCAAATACACCAACCAGGACATCACTGCCTGTAGGAACCTGAAGAGTTTCGGCCAGGTCAGATCCTGATGCCACAAGACTGGCGTCTTGTAGCAGATTGTAGTCGACCCCATCTTCTCCGAGACATTGTAACGTTAACTCTGTATAAGTATTGTAACCAGCATCAGATGTACATACACGGGCCAACCTGGTAACGAAGCCCCACTCCTCCAATGCTCTCAAGTGAGATTTCCTCTGAACCGTTGCAAAGTAGACAAAATCTCCAGAGAAAAATCCGTAAATGTAGTTAACCAGATAGTAGTCTCTAAGATGTGAACTTATGTCCACGCGAGCTATGGTTGAAAAAGACTTTTCAATGATATTGAACAGCTTGCCCTGTCCGTCGTCCAAACTACGACTAGTAACTGCCGGAACCATGTCTCTGTATGGCCCTAAGCGGCTGTTGGTGGTAGCAACGTAAAAGACCCGCGAAAGATGACCGAAATAATGACCCGGACCAATAAAGGCATAAGTTGAAGAATTTTCATCGTTAGCAGCTACAGGAACTGGAATGAGCTCTTCCAAGATTGAGATATTTGTCAAACTATGACGACGACACGCTCCCTGGTGGACACTTCCACAAACAAGTAACATACCAGCTTCATCGTCAATGACTAGAACTTTGTTGAAGTTAGTTGTGGCAACTTTTCGCAGGTTACTACAGTCTGTGGGAGAACACTGGATGCTGTCCTGGACAGGTCCAGTTTCAACTTCCGCTTCCATGTCTAGTGAGCTGTTGAACTGATACAGCCAGTTTGTAGCCCCTACGTACACTCGGCCAGAACGAGGATCCACCACCATGTGAGTAAAGTTTACACTTTCATTAAATGTAGCATAGGACGCATAAATGTTGTTGTGTTCTGAAGCTACTGCCGTGCACCACAAACTTAACACCAAAATACACGCCACGCCCACATTATGAAAAAGTTCCCATTTCCACCTCTTTGTCTTCATTCTGCTGAGTCTTCTCTGCACCTTCGATGATAAGCCAACCTCATCATCACAAAGCGACGTCATCGCTGGTAACAATGGGCACCGAAACAGACTATTCACAGGTGTTCGGTTCATGACCCGGCAGCGAGTCTCTGTCCCGCAATATCTCAGCTTAACATTGACACAGTTGATGTCACCCTATCAAAGACAAAACGAAATATGATTGGTGAAAACGGAAACGCGCAAAAAGGATTGAGCTCTGTATTCGTGGATTTCTTCTAACAAGTTTCATATTTACTCGAATTTCTATAATAACAGTGATGCAACTTAATAACTAGCATCAGTGATGCAGATAGTTTTAGTAGGTATAGGAAACTTACTAGATGACTTGGCGTTAGCTGTATTACAGGCATCTAAATATTTTGCCAGATATCCAAGCATGGTCAGAGCTAGGTAGCGTTGTTTGTGAATTGCTTTAGAATGTTTATTATTTGTCTAATTTTTAAGAATAGTGTAAAAAGACAATAATAACTTATATCAATGAATCTGTGACGAAGAAGCTCAACAGCTGACTTATGTAACATAGTACCTTTTATATGTTTTCCATATACAACATATTCCCAGAAGAGCGGCTCCTGTTGGCCGTCAATTTAAATAATTTTATAAAGTGTTACATAAAGCACGTCGTTTTTATTATAATAACTTTTGTTTGTTTATTTGTTATTAAGCGCAAAACTTCACAGTGGGCTATTTGTGCTCTGCCGACAGCGGATATCGAAACCCAATATTTAGCGTTACAAGTCCGCGGGCTTACAACTGAGCCTTCCTGGCTAGGTTTTCTAACTGTCGGGGCTCATCCATCCCGCGATGCAGTTCTGACTAGCCCGCCAACCACCATACAGAAATGAAAAATAAATAAACAAAACATGAAGCTAGGAGCATACTTTATTTTCAGTTCCTTCCGCTTTGAATCAACGTTGTTTAAATGTTTGTTTTACGTATTACTGTATTAATCTGGTGTTTAAAAAAAACAATAAATTTTAATAAAGCCACGATACGTTTTTCATCGATAAAGGTGTCCAGCCACAGCGACTGTACTTAAAATACTAGCACAAAGTTGGGCAACCCTGACCATGGAAAAAAGTCATAATTTTGCTTTCAGGGTGGAAATAAATGCCTTATAAACATGTCTTATCATTACGAGTTATATAGATGTTCTATGCACGGTTACTATAAGCTAAAAGATTACTTTAAACTAAAACAATATAAAATTACTTATAACAGCACTTCCTTTCTTAGGAAAATTTGGAATTACTTTGTACTGCACATTTATTTAACTCAACAGTAAATTTTACTTGACTGACTCAACTGGTTTCGTAGTCTGTTTTTCTAGGTTTCTTGTTTATGTCCTACTTCTAGGCTTGTTTTCAATGTTAGTTTAAACACGTACTTTTATGCTGATCTATGCTCCACCGAAACCAATGTAGGATCTTTTTTTTTTTTTGTCTTCAGAAGATTCCAATTCACGCCCCATAAGACGACTTGTGTAACACAGAGTAGATGTGGGCGATAAAAGGCCTTAATCCTCAAGATGACATGTTAAGCTAAACATGGCATGCCCTGTGGTTTGGTATTTTAAACATCTTTAACAAAGCAATGTTTATTTAAAGATTTAAAAAAAAGTTAACGTTTATAGAAATGTAGACTATAAGGTAACATTGAAACTTACAGAGTTGAGCTACGAATTATATTGATTCTTACGTCTAGTCAATATAAAGTATTTTGTAACACGTAACGAACGACTCTTATAAGAGTTTAAACGTTCTCATTTTCAAATTACTACACGAAACACTGAATTTTCGCTCAGTTTGAATAAACTAATTACCTAGGCAATTCCACGTAGAATACGTTCCCGTGTCACATCTGAAATATGCACGTATGATTAAAATAGGATACGTGAGACCACTTCGGAACGGGTAAATATTCAAGAATCGTCATTTCGACACAAACAGAATTCGTGTATTACTACTAGTTAGGAAGTCAACATGCGGCGATCTAAATGTACAGGTATCACGAGCACAGTCTACTGACCCTTCCTAGCATTGTTTATAAAAAATACACAGGTATCACGAGTACAGTCTACTGACCCTTCCTAGCACTGCTTATAAAAAATACACAGGTATCACGAGTACAGTCTACTGACCCTTCCTAGCATTGCTTATAAAATATACACAGGTATCACGAGTACAGTCTACTGACCCTTCCTAGCACTGCTTATAAAAAATACACAGGTATCACGAGTACAGTCTACGGACCCTTCCTAGCACTGTTTATAAAAATACACAGGTATCACGAGCACAGTCTACTGACCCTTCCTAGCACTCCCTATGAAAATATAAAAAAACAACCTCATCACGGGAAGTGCTGACAAGGGACTGGCAAGAAGCTATGGGACAAGTTGAGAAGGGACGGTTAGATGGGTAAGCAAAGAAAGAAACCTAAGGTTTCCTTGTAGCCATTAAAAAGGTTCGCCGTTCGCTCTCGTAATGGTTCTATGAAGGTCACGTGAACAGTCCCGTGACAGAATTATTGCCTCTCTATAAACTGTGAACCAAGGCGGGCAAGCATAAGACCGCGTTCACATTCCAACAGTCATAAAGCTTTAAATACCATAGCAACCAGCCATTAACCTACGGGTGCAAATCGGCACTGAAACAAGCACTGTGTTTTCCCAAGTACCGAGAAGAAAAAGAGAAGAGAGTCATGTGTAATTATCATAGCTGTGAACTTTTCCCATTGCTTATAATGGGTCAACCACCGAAAGTCAACCAGAAGTTCTATATATCAGTGGTTAATTCAAGTAACATTGAGGAATTCTTCATATTTTATTCGGTTCATCAGAAAGATTCATAACTATAAGGAACAATCATGTATTAGACTAAGTTTAACAAACGCTTAACCAAATTAACCCTAGAATCATCGGTAGGATCCCACTGGCTTTTCAAACACATTCTTCAAAACTTTTTACATACCAATTTGTTTGTGGGCAGTGAATTGGTTAGTTACAGTGCTCAAAAAAATTAATTAAATATACCGTCAACCAACCTTCACTGTTTACTGGAGATACTCTCTATGTCTGTTAAATAAAAAAAATCAGTGATTTCACCCGATATTCGACAAGCATAAAGTTACTATAGTTACTCAATATGATGATTTCACCCGATATTTGACAAGCATAAACTTACTATAGTTACTCAATATGATGTTATACGTAGACCACACCTTTAAGGAACGGTATATAAGTAAATCAGTGATTTAAAAATTGGTGTCTTAAAATAGACTGATAAAACAAAAACAGAATATAACTAATTAATTTACTGTCAGGAAGAATAGTTTTAAATCAGGTACGACGTTTCGATCAACAATCTAACAAAACTAAATACTAAAACCTTCTTTACCGTTAAAACTTGCGTGCTTGAGAATGATCACACTAGTGATCGAAACGTCGTACGTTTTATAAATATTCTTCCTTACTGTAAATATTGCAACTTGTAATAAAATAATACTTATAATCACTAAGTAAACACAAAACGAACAAACAGAATACAAGTTTTTCTCCACAACTTACTTTCCTGCTATAAATGTCAGTGCAAGTAAATTTTCCCTTCGAGTATTTCATGACAATAAGCCACTTTGAAAATAAATTAGTGCAATTTTCTCAACTTAAACCTAAAGAAATGACGTATCTAATACAGGAAGTACGAATGTATTAAAATCTGTTGCTATGACATCACTTTCTGGAAAATGTCCTCGTACTGGACAGGAAATATTAAAGCAATAACAAGAAAAGAAAACGTGTTTTAGGAATACGATGTTAAAACCAAAACGAGTTACCTTTGTAAAGAAATTCCGTTATAAACCGCTCTCACTATTAAATAATGTTCAACCATCGAAGCATCAAGACGGGTTTAGGCCTAAAATGTTACAGGCAAGGAGCTTAGTTGTATTTATCCACGGAAAGACGGAAAGCGAGCACCCGAAAATCTACCTTGACATCCGGCTACCACTGAAAAATTTAACGTCTATTGGTAACCGTAAAGTACGTCTCTGCCGCGACGCGTCGAAAGGCAGACTGAAAATACTTACACTTCTCTGCAAGTCAACCGCGTGCTCTGTCACTGAGGATGCGTACAGATACTTGTCAACTCTCACGTGCTCTGGCACGCACCCTGCGGCGACGGCTCGTACACGGAACATAGAAAATAGTATCCATGCGGTTGGGGAAACAGAAATTATGGTACCAGCTAGAGGCGCCACAACCTGACATGAAAAGCTCATATTCTACAGTGGATCTCATAAAAGTCAAGTTTATCTATGTCATCAATAAAATATGCGTCAATATATAAAATGAAATTAAATCTCATATTATTTCACTTAAAAGAAATCATTTTTATGTGAATCGATATAATTTTTTTAAAAGTATATCTCATTTAGAACAGTCTAGCATCAAAATATAATTTAGATATATAAAAATATATTAAAACCTTTGCAGTTGCAGCTAAAGTATACATAGAAAACTCTTTAACAAACAAACTAGATACCAATTGTTTTTTTGTTTTGTTTTTCTGTGCATAAAACATTCACACATAAGATTGGCCAGAAGACAACAGCCACTTCACTGAATTTCAGGAAACACGACCACAGACTACTAGGTTAATATTTAAAATGTTCTAACCTGAGAAATATAAAGATTGTTTTGTTTGCAATGACTGTTTGAAGTTAAGCACAAAGCTACACGATGGGCTATCTGTGCTCTGCCCACCACGGGTATCGAAACCCGGTTTCTAGCGTTGTAAGTCCGCAGACATACCGCTGTGCCACTGGGGTGGGGGGGGGGGTCGTTTGCAATGAGCAATGATAATGTTTCATGCTGATAATCATAATATTAGTAAGCTCTATAAGATTTGATTAAGCAATAAGCACGGCCAAGAAGTCACTCTATCAGAAAAACTTTGATTCTTAGAACTAGTCGGCATCAGTATATTTACTAACAAATTCATTGCAATATCGTTATTATTTTTTTATGTATTAGCCCAGAAAGACTACCATATACGTGATAGAACACAAGAGTAAAATCCTGTTAGCCTTGTGAAAATGTGACCGCCGGTGGAAAAAACTGTAAAGGCTACATACAACAA